AGTTCGATTTTCGATATCTCACTACTATAAAGGCTTGGTTTGGTCTGATATTTGGTCTAATATAATTTTGTAAAATAAGAAATAGGTTGGTCATCATATTTCTTAATCAATCTTTAACACGATAGATGGCACAAAAATTAGAACTTTAATTGAATTATCCATATCGCACACACGATCCTCTTTATGATCATTATTTTTTAAATCGGACCACTACAAATTTTCATAATGTATTGTTACGGCAGCGGAAGTCACGTGACGCTGGTAACACGTGAAGAGATTCTATAAGGATCAGGGAACCTCACGAACGTCCCAGCTTTGCTAGACCCCTCTATTTTTGTTTATATAAGGCCGGCAACTATTAGCAGAGGGGGAGATATAGAGGGATAATCGAATCAAACCGTAAGTAAAGTGTGTAAATCATTGCGAATTTTAGTGTGTGTTTAAGTTAAAGTGACTGTGGACATTCTGAGTATTGCAAAGTTGTATTGAGGAAGAATAAACTAGTTTTATTTGAAAAAGGACTTGTATCGCTGAAGTTCTTCGGGAAGAATTTTTACAGGAAATTAACAAACGACCAGAGACGTAACAGTATTATTATTAAGGGCATTATTGTCGTCCATACTTACTAATATTTTATAGGCAATCCATAGTTTAAAAGACAATTATGAGATACCATGTTTTCTGTATTATTAACAGTAACACATATTTTGGAATTATGAAAATGTTATTTTCAAACCAAACAATTTTGTGAAGGAAAAAATTATTTTTGGAAAGTAATATCTACAAAAAGCAACATAAACTGAGATTATATTTTAAAGTTAAAAGTTCAGAGCTGAGAAAACTTCTCGAAAATCAGGTAACAAGTTTTATATGATCTCATTCATTCAGAAACTTCGAGTCACATGATGGACTTTGTCGGCATATTGGATTTTCCTTGTTCCACCCATCAATATAACTGTACTTATCTGTCGTCACTCGTCAGGTAGATATCGAAGGTTTAACGTCTGTTGTGCTGTACGTCGAGCCGCAACAGAAATTAGAGACAAGAAAGTATGACTGTAGCTATGGCAGACAATTTTACGATCTCACGTGAACAGTTTAAAGAGGTAATCTTAACTACTAGTACAAAAACTTATAAAAGCACTTTGGAATGATATCTATATATATATATATATATTACATGCCTAGTTTTTTTTTTATTGTTTATTTTTCATTTTAACTTTAAGTGTATTTGATGATTAGCAATGATATTTAACAATAACTTTTAGAAGATTATTGTTACAACCTTCATTTTTAATTCTGTCCAAATCTCACATGCACGGCACTTGGGTGCTGTTAAAACTTAAACCTAAGTAAAGGCATGTTCTATTCTAACATTAGTACTAGGCCTACAGTCTAAGTTCCAACGTCCACTAGCCCTAGTACCTTAAGTCTTAAGAATCGAAAGGGGGAAAAAATATATATATACAACGGCATAATAACTGATTTAAACTTGATTTAAAATTAACGAATTGCACATTAGGGGCATTACACTGACTTGTATAGATACTACCATAACGCTTGCCCTCTAATGTAGGCTCCATTCCATTAAACTTTATATTTCACGTAAAGGTAATTTAACTTAGGATCCACACATAGTACCTTGAAGGTTTAATAGGTGACGCCACATGTAATAAACACATTGTACGATCACATTTTTACACTCCCGTGCTTAAAATATATGGCCTCAGAAATCACACATTTTCCTGTTTTTATCTAAAATCTGTCTAAAACTATATATATACAAAACACATATGTTTCAATGTTATGAATAAAATTTGAAGTGTACCGACTAATACAGAAATTAATAAAATGTTCATTTTGTACAATTTAGCATTTAACTTTTAATATATTGCAAGATAAAAGTTTCTCATCAATGTTGTTATTTTTAGTAGGTATACAACAGAATGCAAAAAAAAACTTGAAATTTATGTACCATGGACTATATAGTACTTTCCTTTTTTAGTTTCTTCATTGGCTTATTGTAATTCAAGATCCGCGTGATCTCTGGCGAAACCATGCAACATTTTTGTGTATTGAGGTGGTTGTGATCATTTGTTTTATCCTTACATATAAACATGGTAAGTTGATTTGTTTAACTTAGATGTAAAGAAACTAATCTGTTGCAATGGGAGTTGCAAATCAAAGAATTTTAGGCCTCTGCATTATATTTTCTTCTCTGAAATTCATTTTTAGTGAAGAAGAGAAATTAACAAATAAATGGTAAGTTAATTATCTACTTATCTTTGTGCTTTATAATGTGAACTAACTCAGTCAAGATTAAATATTTTTGGGCTTTTGTAAACTTAATAGAAAATCTGTACATTAGCTAATAATTATAGCTTATACTTTATAGATAACAATTTTCCAGTTAAAATGTTGAAGATGCACATACATAATTATTCTTTTTACATTTTCACTCAGAATATAAGATTGTAAAAAATTCAAAAATACTTAGTCGTTGTTATTTTGAAAGACATACATACCACATCAATAAGTATTTATGAACACAGGTATGATTAAATGCATATTTCTCCTCCAAAAATCTGAATGATTGTGAGAATAGATTGAAATTCATCTTACAGTTACAAAATAAAATGAATAAAATGCAAATGGTTACAGTAATGATTTACACACACGCACACACACACACTTAGAGCTTTCTTAGAATGGTTGGTGGATAAATTTATTTGTGCTGATTCTATAGTTTTCAATTCATTATGATCAGTCCAATGAAAAATTGTTTATTAAATTTTATTGTATAGAAATATGTCATTATTGTTAACTTATTACACATGGAAATATTGTTTTAGAAATGGTAAGATTTTAAAATGATAAATAAATTTCAATGTTTTTTTAACAAAAGGATTTGAAGTACCTCAATGGCTCAGCAGTAAGGCTGCAGGCTTACTATGTTAAAAATCAGATTGTGGTTAACAACAACCAAACCAAAATACCTCAAATTAATAAAATTGTGGACCTTTTTTAAAGGTCTTTTTTTTTTATAATTTGATACGTTAGTATTATGATCACTGTAAAAGGTGTCTAAACAAATTGTAAGGTACTATTAAAACAACTTTTTTTTTTCTTCAATTTCAAAACATAGCTGATGGGCATTGTACACTTTTTGTAATCTACCCATTTATGTTGTAATGTAAGCTATGCATAACTGTAACAGTAATGTTATTGCTACAGTAACTTAATAACTTGATGTATTTCATCTCACTCTTAAGTTCTGTATCTTTGTTCTTTTAGCCACCAGACATGGCGGCCGATTCTTATCTCTATGGTGGACAGTTGTTATGTCAGGATTAATCATCGAAAGTATCAGCTATTTGGTTCCACAGATAGACAACTTCTGGCACTCTCAAGCCACAGTCATGTTCTTGGGTCATCGTCTACCTTTGTTAATTGTTTGTGTCTGTAAGTCTGTTTTGTTTTGTGAAATGATATTGTGTAGGCTTTAAAAATATATGTTACTTGTTTTACTTGTTAGTATATGTAAGTACTAGTATTTTGAATACATACATATATGTCCTTGTGTAATGTCAAATATCAATATTTTTAGTTTTCAAAAAGTTATTCCACAGAAGTATAGATTAGAAGACAAATGTCATCAAAAAATAATCTTCTTAAGTTTTTTATTCTTGCTGTTTGAAAAAGTTTGTTTATTTTGAATTTTACACAAAGCTACTTGAGGGCTGTCTGCACTTGCCCTCCCTCATTTTGAAGTCGTAGATTAGAGGGAAGATAGCTAATTAATGCTACCTACCACTACCACTTGGGCTACTCTTTACAAATGAATAGCTTAGTACTTACAATTAACAGTATTGTGTTTTCTCAATTCTAAAATTATCAACTACATAGCTTAACTTTCTCAAATTCTGAGGGTTGCAGGTTCAAATCCCATCAGTAAACATGCTCACCCTTTCAGTCATTGGGATTTTATAATGGGATGGCCAATCCAAAAGAATTGTTATTAATGTTCTGATAATTTGTTTTCCCTTGGTGACTCGGTGATAAGCTAAGAGGCTTAAAACACTAGAATTTAGGATTCAATTGCAATTCATAAATGCATAAGCACAACCATAATGCGGTGTTAAGTGCTCAAAAACTATATTAGTACTCCATATTCTGCAACACCTGATTTAGTTGTCTATTGGATACTGACCTCAAAGAAAGTAAAACTGCAAGTACCATCATTTCCCATGATGCCCCACAATCATTTTTGAACATAATCTATGAACCATCATATCCAAGTATTCAATTTATCGTTTTGTAGATCCTGTTCTACTGTATACATCTGCTGCAGCGGTTTCCAGGTTATGGCTTCCATTTTGGGCTGAACCTTTTGCTGTAGGCCTTACTGTCTTAGCCATCGATGTTCCCTGGGATATCAATGGTGTAAACTTTGTGTGGTGGACTTGGCATGATACAGACCCTAATATCTATGACAGACACTACTGGGTTCCCTGGAGTAGCTTTTACTTTTTGGCTGCCTTAGGCTGTACCTTGACTTTCTTACTTCATGGTTTCCGGTGGCTACTTACAGGGAACGACAAGTACAGTTCTGGAGGGTTAGTTCAGGATTCAACTCTCCTTACACGTGCAAAATAAGTATAAGTCCAATTTTTAAATGTAACAGTATTACTTTTTAGAAACAAATGTACTTTGATTATAGCAACAATTTGTTTAGAACTATAAGTAAAGCATTTTTAAATTGAGAAAGAAAAAAAAAAAGAATGTGAGAGAAAAACTCTGCCTGTATGTTTATATTCTTGAGCATAGTTAGATATGGTACTGGGGGCTCTTTAACCCCTCCTTTCAGCTTTTTGAACAACTTTTTAAAAATAAAAATAAATACTTGTTACCAATTTTGAATTAAAATTGCCCATACATGTAATTTTTAAGAATTAGATATTTATCCAAGATTATGGTTATTTAAACTATTGGGATCTTATGTACATCTATCTATCTGTGTAGAATTGAGCTCCAGTCCCTTACTTTAATTTTGTAGATATGCCTTTGTTAAACATGTATCACCCACATTATGAGTCTACTTCAATATGTGAAATATCAAAGTATTTCTTGTGACATGACACACATTATACCTAATCTTGTGTAGTTTTTGAGAATCATTAATTTGTTTTATTCAAAAGATAATATGTAGCTGTAAAATGTTAACAAAATTTTATTGTCTTTGTCGCCTCTGTTAGGTTATTGTATGATAATGTATTTTTAATTTTATGAAATTTATCTAAAACTTATATTTTTTTGAAGAAATATTGAGCGACCATTCATAATTTGTGCCATGAAAATTTATACAACAACACTAAGATTAAATTTAGTATGTTATAATAAGACAGTCTCCTTATAATCTTTGGTTATTTATTTCACATAGATGTGTGTTAGTTTTGTCCATTTTTGATAAAAGTAGAAAATAAGCCTATTATTGTTTCTTTGCTTATTATTATTTGAAATGAAGTATTCCGAAGTAGTTTAAAAATATGAAGTATAATGTCAAGTCTAATGTGATCAATGTTAATGACAGGTTTTTCAAAGAAGCTCTCGCCTCAATATTGACAGCCATCTTAATTATGCCAGTTGCTTCTATCCAGTTTGTACCTTTATACCACTTACTCAAGGATGAACTAAAAATTCACTCCGAAGTTTGTGTTTTCCTTTTCCTATCCATGTATCTGATGATCTTCTGGCTCGGTGATCGTGATCCATCCATTGAAGCTAGGCCAAAGAAAGGCAAGTCTGAACTTGTAGTTCTTAATTACATCAATGTAGATTAGTTTATATTATTCACTTGAATCATTCTGTCTGTGGTTTGCATTTTAATTTCACAAGCTACTTTTCATTCAGTTATAAACTATTTATATCTCCTGTTTTATTTCAAAATTGTAATGGAGTTATGTATATTAACTCATAAATAGTAGTATTTGTACAAATCTGTTACCAGTATTTAACATAACCTATATAGAACAAGAGACCTTTTGTTATTATATGGCTGTCCTCGTACACTTACCCTTGGGAAAAGTAAAAATTTAAACCAACTCTTCACTTTTCAGGAAATCATTGATTCCCTTCTTAAGCTCATGTATAGTCCTGGCTTTCATTCATGTTGATGGCATTCATTCCAAGTATACCATTATTTAAAAAAATACAACTGTCTTAACTGGAGTTAAACTGTTCACAACAAAGCAGAAGTCTTTATCCTATCACCTCCCCCCTCACCCCAGATAACCTTATAAACTTCAATAAGATCACCTCTTATTCTTCTTAACATATCCCATAATATAACCCTTCTGTCTTTGGACTCATTCTAGTTGTCCTCTGAACCTTCTCCAATAAGTCAATATCCCTTTTTAGATAAGAAGACCAAAACTATACACAATTTTCCAAGTGAGGCATATCTAGTGATTTATATAGAATTGTGTTTGTACAGTAAATACATGTTTGCATGCAGTTGTTTCTATTTCAATTTTACATGTGTTTCAAACTTATTTTAGTGATGAAGATTTATATTATCCATTTTGTTGCTGTGCTTATTGATCTTATTCAGATAATTAGATAAAATTCACTTGAAAAGTATTCATCTGAAGAACCAATCATTACAAAGAAATCTTGATGAAAAAGTTAGACTATATAAGTCTATGGAAAGTATGGATTAAAATGAGCAACAAATAGTCTGTGGTAAACTAGTATCTCTGATGCAGAATAGTTAATTATGAAAAGAGCTAATAGGTTAAATCTCAGTACAACAAAGTATAAGGAGAAAGTAGTGTGCAAGTTCTCTTACAACTGATTATGAGAGTTATCCTCTGCTAGTTTGTTCATTTTAACCCCAACTTTCCTATTACTACAGTGTTCTTTCTAACACTTACTGAAATCTATTAATGATTGAAATTAAACATAATAACAGACACCAATTAATAATATTACTAATATTTCCTGAAGGAAAGAGAATTTGAAAAACTTGAATAACATAGTATCTTCTGTATGGGCTTAAGCATTCCTTAAAGTGTGTCTTGACATAAAACCAAAGGTATGAACATTTATAAACTTAGTGTTTAGAATCATATTTTACTATATAATTAAAGATGATTGAAATTTTGTCATGTTTCTGTCACATACCTGTTAACATAAACTTTTCACTTAATGTTGTAGTTTAATATTATCAATGTAATTTCATGAAGGAAAGAGATTGAGAAAACTTGTTTCACCATTGTGATAAAAAAATACTGAATATTTATCAAGAAGAGTTGTAACATGGATTTATGCAAATCTTAAATGTTTTCTTTTCTCTTCACATCTCAGTTACTGATATGAGTGGTTTCATTTTGCAATAACAATATAGTCCCAATTATCATTGATTCATGTATTGCATACTTAAATAGCCAGATGATTTCCAACCAATAGGTCGTTGTCACCATTACGATGAACTAATTGTACTACTGGGGTTGTGGTACATAACACATTTTGCAGTGGCAATCTTTGGGCATCCAGAGAGTGTAGTAGCTACTGGCCTACGGGAACCAATTGGGCCTTGTGACCAGTATCTGGATGTCTTCACTCCTATGGGTCAGGTGAGAAGAAAACTTCTGACCATTGTTTTCTATGAGTTTATTATATATACTTACTGAGTGGTAAATATTTTATGTCTTGTCATCTTCTATTAAAATATTGATATGGTTAATGTATTAGGTATCAATGTTTACGTAGGACTGGAGAAATTCAAGTGGTCATTGGATATAGTAAGTCACAGTTTTTATATATCGTTTAGTGAAAATTGCTGGTATGAATAAAATAGAGCATTATAGTTGTCTCTATAAAAACAAAATTAAACATTATTGTCTGTGTTTCAGGTTCTTCAAAAGAGAAAATACTTGTGCTTAGAAGATTATGATGAAGGCTACTATGATTTTCATTGTGTGCCCAAACATGAAATGGCAAAATTAAGAATTGGTAGTAACATTTACTGGTATACAGTGTGTGGCGTCCAATTTTCAAATTACGCCGAGTATGTAACTGTGATTGGTGGATACTGTGTACTTGGTATTTTTGTCTTTTACCAATACTTGTTAAGGAGTGGGTCTCATTTGTCATTGTCAAAAATGGCTAAGAAAGTTGCAATAAAGTCTAAAACAAACTAGATATATAAAATAATGTGTAAAACTTACTTAATTTTTGAAACAAATTATTTTGTAATTTTTTAAACACTGGGTATATTATTTTAAATATTTTTACATGAATCACTACATATTGATATTGAAAAAATATATATTTTGTAAGAAAATGAATTTTTTTTTTAAATCTTAAAATGTATTTTACAAATAGATACTGGATACAGTAAAGACAAAATTAGTTTAACTACCAAAATCCACTGAGAGTGCATAATGCACCTGTAAAGGTATTTATAAATTTATAGACACAAATTGAAACAATGTGAAAATGTATCACAAGAAGCTTATACTCTTCAATAACCATGCTGACGTGACATTAAATAAAGTTTGGTAATAAACTTTCTTGAGTTCCTCACTTCTTACACATATACAGCTGATGATTGTTATTTATTCATGACACCTTATTTAAATGTGTTTTATGATAAAAAGTATATGTTTCAGTTCAAATTATATACACATTGGAGAACAGGATAAAAAAAAATTGCTTTCCTGAATAATTTCTCTGATACACTAACAGTTGCACTATTAATTTATCTTCTGACTCATTGGTAAGCTTGACATTTACAATATTAAAATCCAGGGATTAATTACCCACGGTGCACACAGCACAGATAATCCATTGTGTAGCTTTGTGCTTAACGTCAACTAGCACCATTACTGCATTAAGCTTCAGACACTATCTCAAGGGAATACTGTTTTGTCAAACAGAGTTTCAATTTTATCCTTTTATTTGACATTTCATATGGTCTAATTATATTTTTAATATCATAAGTTTGGAACTCCAATTCATAAAGATTGTATTCATGAGCATATTAAACATTTTGGCTTTTTTTTCTGTAAATGTTTAATTCATATTGATTGCTTAATATTTTCTCAAAAAGAACATCAACTACACACTGAAAACATCTGAATACAATTAATGATCCATTGTAAGGCCTATTCACATAGCAATATTGGAAAATGATAAATGCCTTTAAAAAATTTCTTACCTGATATTATGATGACCTAGAAAAGCTTAAACATATTCAGAGTTTTACTCTATTAATTAAAATCTTTAAAAAGAAAATTGAGGTATTTGTAAGAATGCATAATCTCTGGTATTTCATTGAGACCTGAAGCATTCATTACTACTCACTGCATATGGTTTAATGTTTGGGTGAATTCCAAAATTTAATATTGAATGTCAGCTTTGGTGCATACTGTTCCTAAAGTAAACTTTTGTGATCTTTGACTTTTGGTGGCACAGTGGTATGTCTGTGGACTTATACCGCTGGAATCCGGGTTTCGATACCTGTAGTGGGCAGAGCACAGATAGCCCTTTCTGTAGATTTGTGATTAATAACAAACAACAACAACGACTTCTGGTGTTGCTTCAACGTTGTCTCGACATATTCAATGAGAAAAAGGAGCATTGAAATTGAGAAATTAAACATGGTATCTTCCATGAGGGACATGACACTTGTGATAGATGAGTTACAATTTCTGTAAATATGGATGCAGATACTGCAACTTGACATGAAAATGGTAGGTATATAAGAATATTAATAAATTTTACTCCAGAAAAAACTGGCCTGTTTTATTAAGTTTGAAACTGATTACTTACATAACAACAAAGTAGGCCTATCTTGCTTTCTAGTCTTGGCATGCACATTGCTAACAATTAAAATGTATTATATACATTTGACAAAAATATGTGCTTAAGTTATAATAGATTTTAAGAAGTTGTAGCTTTTGTAACTGTTCTTGTAGGACTAATTTCTCTACTTGATTAGTAGTTTAGGACATGGATTAGAAGAGTATTGTGCAATCCCTGAATTGATGCTTTTTATGACTGATAATTTTATTGTATGATCTCCCCTAAATAAAGATAATGTTTCATTAACACTTATATATGAAAATTTGGCTAATACATGTGCAAATTATGAATTGTGACATGAAAGAATATTATTATTAGTATAAGAATATATTTTTAGATATATAGTTTTATATTGATTTTTTTTTCACTCTACTATAAATTACCAGTTTGCCCTCAGTTAGAGCGAAATGGTTTTGGCACTGAATGTGACTCTTTGGCTTTTTAAAAAATATTCTATTAACAAGTGCTACAGAAATAGGTACCACTGATAAAAATGAATCAACTTCCCTCCTCAGAAGTTATGATCAACCATTAACAAATGTAGATACTGATTTCCCCACAGAAGGGGTTATCGAGAAATTAGTCACAGGCAGATGAATTAATAGTTGTAAATATCTGATATTACCTATGAAGTATGGGACTAAAAAATACTGTTTTTTGACTGCATTATTTGCAACCCATACACTTATTCTTTTCATTTAGTTTTTAGTAATTTTAGAAAGATCCAAAAGTTATGACACTCACAGAACTAGGTTAAAACATTTAAAGATTATTGTAAATATGATATAATCAGTTAGTTATTTTTTTACAGTTTTATATACTTTTATAGTGTACAGTTGTACAGCTGAACCTCATATTCTTTTATTAATGTACATTTATCAATTTATCCTTGGCAAATGTGTTTCAATCAAGAGTATTTTAGAAAAATTAGGTACAATTATTGTTAAATAAACATGGTTTCAAAACCACATGTATTTTCTATCTTGGACTTTTTATCCTTTAGTTTAATATGTAACTTCGATCTTCATTGTTATAATTGTATCTAAGTTTCTAACTGTGGTTTTATAAAAAAAAACTGTAGAGTTTTCAGGGAAGAAAGAAAAAACTACTTCTTATTCATTTGAGGCTTGACTTTGAAGAAGAGCTTAAAAGGCCAAAATGTAAGAAGCAAAAGCTGTGGGAAAAGCAGATAGTATGTTTCCAACACTGAAGGTTTCAGTGTCACTAGTGTCCTCTGTGATGTGAAATGGAGGATAATAATATTCACTTACATGAAGATCAAATATTAAGTGAACACTAGTGGGAAAAGTGCAATAAATTGGGATTTTTTATTTCATTATTGATAATGCTTTAAAGTTTAAAGCAAGTAATGACTCCCCTCTTGCAGCAATGAGCTTCAGTAATAGCAAAACAGACAAGAGGCAGTCAGTCCTAAGTTTGAGAACAGAAGAACCACCAGGGCAGTTTAGTCCATAAGAAAGTAGTAGTAACACCTTAAGTTCTGTTGCTGCTAGAAGGACTATAAAATGGCACTATTCAAATTCAAAAGATCCATCAACTTTTTAACAATGTAAAATACACAAAAGTAGGAGATGAAAGGGAAGAAGCACATTTGACATTAATATGGGAAGAGCAAACAGAAGTTAAACTAGGGAAAGTGAAAACAATTGAAAATTTAACAGAAATAATGATACACTTTTTAGAATATTAATATTTATATCTTTTGTCGCACTTCTTATTTTTATTATTTTTTTATGTCTTTAGAACAACTTTTTGATGCAGGTCAATAAGATTTCTGTTAAAATTATTCTATGTCTCATTAAAGGCCTATTTATAAATGCTTAAGAATGTGTATTTGACTTAGTCTTAAGTATGCATTTTCAGCAATAAAAATATTTTCTAAACAGTTGTCTGTGTAAATGTATATGCTTATGTAATTTTCATTTTACTTAATACTGTAAAATTAGATAGTGTAGCATATTTCCATCCAGTATCAAATCCCATCCACCAAAAAACATTGAAATGATCCTTCTCAGGACTTTCCATTTCCAGAAGATAGCAACCGAAAATGTAGAATAGAACTAGTTAATAATTAGTATTGTTACGTATCTGCTTGTTTGGTAATTTCCCGTAAAAATTCTCTCCGAGAAACTTAAGCGATACAATTTAATTAAAACTAGTTTATTCTTTATCGTCACAAACTTTGTAATACACTTAATTTCCACAGTCACTTTAAACTTAACTAATTTTATAAACACACGCTATAATTCACAACGATTCGAGCACTTTACATACGTTCACTACTGCTCGGTTGAATCAGTTATCTGTATCTTTACTTCTCTCTGTCTGCAATTATTGCCGGGCTTATATACTAAAATAGAGGATGCCAGGTATATTCATGATCCTTCTAGAAACTCCAGCGTCCCGTGACTTCCGCTGTCGTAACACTGCCCCTTCCATAGTATTGTT